GATGATATTCCAGGCGCAAAACTAACTACACCTGTTGAGCAATGTACCATTAACGCTCTAAAGCCGTGGTTAAGCTGCCGTGGAAGGAAAGTTGGTGGCAAAAGAGAAGAACTTGTGATAAGGTATTTTAGCTTGATGTCAACACTGTTTGTTTAGTTATCTTTAAACCTCTTGAATGGAAATTTTCAACAGATCATTTGCAGAATATGATTGGGAAATGTTGAAAGCCGAGATAAACTAAATTTCGACAAAATCGTGCTGAATTTGCCTTTTAAATTCGCTTTTTTCCCTTTATTTTTCGGGGTTAACGACTATATCAAAAATGGACTCGATTGTTGTTCACATTCTTCCAAATCTTTTTCAAGTGACTCGAGTTTTGCCTTAAGGTCCTTCAGGGTTTCCACATTGTCCTCTTCCTTCTCCTAACGAGGTACTTGATCAGTTTTGTCTTCTATTCCATCAATCTCAATAATATCTTCTAGGACAATTCCATCTTTCGGGTTTCTTTGCTGTTCAATCTCCTTTCGAAGGGTTTCGCTGGACTCCTCGACGTTGTGGAGTTCAACACTTTTGGTCTGAGAGGAGTTTTCGTCTTTTTTTTTGGACGGTACGTCGTGCTTAACTAGTTCACAACTTTTTCATTTAGCTTTAGACCATGGAAAAATTGATGGAAGTTGTGTACGACTCATCCTTTCGCCTTGCGGAAAATGTTTGCCGCATATTTTTGTACTCGACGAGTGTATTTTAAGATTAAGGTTTCGTATCAACTTGACATACTTAGAGAGTACTTTAGGATCTTGAGGAAGTGAATGGAACTTCAAATCTGGGGAATTACGCCAATTATTTGTGCAACGAGGCACACAGCACGAGGATTTCCTCATGTTTTTCTTTATCACTTTTGCTCGCGTCTCCAAAAACAGCCTCAGGGTGCTTCGCGAGCTAAGTTCCGCCCCAGTCTCCTGTTGAATTCCGGAAAGACGAATTGTTGAAGCCGCATCGAAACTCGTCTCACTTGGCTATGGCAGAGAAGAAACAATCTGACAATTTCGATTTAAATAAGAAACATGCAATAATGGAGGAAGAATCTGGGTAAGGACAAAACATGGACCCCTGGTCCCCCACTTTGGACCCGGTCCCTGGACCCCTTTTCGTGGACCCCATATAAAAATAGGATATATTTTGTTTCGCAAGTTCTTTTTTGGTTCGCAAGTACTTACTACAATTTGGATGATACCGGCTACATCCGATCCGACAAAATAACCACGATGAATTCCACAGCGTGCGCTTTGTACATGCACGTTTTTCGCTAATAAAAGCGAATCAAGAACAGTTTTGAAGAAAGCTTTCGTCCTGAAATAATTTCTTACTCCTTTCATCTTGCTCCTCATTGAAAAGTTCCATGTAACATGAGATCTCTTCACGCAAGGCCAAATTTGCATATTCACTTTGAAATCTGATCTGCATACCGGTTTGCACACTTGCGTATATATTTAGCGATTTTTGTCTTTCATCTTGATTTTAGAGTAAAAACTTAATAGGCACCTATGATTTTCTTATTGAAAATAATTTGTTTAATTAAATCTTTTAAACCTTTGTTTCTTAGATTCTTTGTTGTGTCTTGGTTGTAAAAACAGAGTAGCGTGTGAACGAAATGACTCGAATTTCTGGCACGAAAATCATGCGTCGTCTTTGCTGTGGGAAAGACGGTATTTGGTTTTATCGATGTAGCTAGTATTATCCAAATTGTAGTAAGTACTTGCAAACCGAAAAAAAGCTTGCGAAACAAAAAAAGGGGTCCATGGACCGGGTCCAAAGATGTCGATGGACCAGGGACCCATGTTTTGTCCTTACCCGGAAGAATCTGGCGTCGCTCAAGGTCCTCAAGAAGAGTGCGAAGAACGTCCGGAATGTCGGCCGTAAAATAGAAACG